TTAAGTATATTTTGTGGATCTCGTTATTCATCTTTTGATAGTTATCGACGTCATATGTACCGTTGCCATCGCTCTCTGATTGATTCACTGGAAAGTGATAATATTATCTCATCGAATATTGCTGATGTTTTGAAAAATGGTGATGATTCATTTGTTGATATTGATTTTAGTAATCAATCAGATTTTAGTGAGGACTCTGAGTCCTTTATTTATCAAGACGAGTAGCCGGATGTTCGCCAATAGGACTTTCGTAAATTGGACTTTCGCCAATGGCGAACGTCCACTGATCTTTCGCCAAAATACCTTCTGTACTTTCTCCAATTGGCGAACTTCTACTAATCTTTTGCCAATACATCCCTGTACTTTCGCCAATTGGAGAAATTTTATTGACTGTAAATCTAGTATCGAGTAAAAATTTATCATCTATTACACTCAGATAATATTCAGCTATTTTATCATCATAACTTTGTTAGTCAATGCCTGTCGTAACTCGTGCTGCAGCATTACGGTCCAAGATAATTGGTGTTTCAGACGCTTCACATGATAAAGCAGCATTACCTGCGACATCCGTGTCAAAATCTACTGCTAAAACTACTAGTACATGTGGATTAAAACAGAAACAGAAAGAAAGAGCAGCAGATTCAACAATAAATTGCAGTAAACCCGAAACATGCTTTGAATCACAACAACAATCGTCAATTTCGAAAACTGAATCTGTTCTTCAAGCTAATGTTAATTCAGATGATGAAGGTACGTATTTAAACAAATAAGTTAATGCATTATTTAATAAACTGTTTTCTAAAGAAACAGCAACATTGTTACCATCACCTGATCAAACTGCTGCAACGTTTGTTACAAAATCACCAAAATCATCAACAGAAAATAGTGATCACTTTATAGTTTCATTAGATTCATCAAATAATGATGATATGGCTGTGTCGGAAGGTGATGCTGATACTTTCATACATGAACCAGTAGTTAAAGGAGAAATAACAACAGGTACTTCAACTCGAAATGGTAAAATGATCTTCATGAATGGATTTAGTTATTTGTATATGAGCACAGCAAAAGAAACAATTGGCTGGCGTTGTATCAGACGAAATGTAAATTGTAGAGCAGTGATACATACATTAAAAACAACAGGTGAATTTAGCCGTTGGAATGGTGTATTTCATTCTCATACATTTGATCCAAATGAAACACGTAAACGAGAAATTTTGGGTACCATCAAAAAGAGTCTTGGATGAACATATTCCTGTCAAAATCATCGTTGAACAAGAATATAGAAAAGCCAACTTATCAGCGGAAGAAAAACGAATAATACCTCTTCCATCGCAAATTGGTAGTTAAA